CATATCTCCATTTTAGTCCCTTGATCGTTAAAAAGTTATCCGGAATAGTCCGTCTATGACTAAATTGGGATCCACTATGTATCTCGAATTTTGATCAATTTCTATCTGAAGACTATTTTGGAATTTATTTTGCTTGGTCGGAGAACTAAATCGGAGAAATATGATGATAGTTTAGAGGGCACTATTTTGGCTTTTATTCTCAGAAAGAGTTAGCTACATTTTCCACCATTTGGAATCAACTATTCATCCTCAACATTCAGGTGATGATCCTCACCTTCCTAACAAGATATTGGATCCTGAATATCTAAGTCAGGTATCAGATACATATAGAGATGTCCAGCAAGTCCTACAGAAACATGGTCCATGGGCTTCTGCTTGGGTAGGTGAAGCTGGTGGCGCCTACAACAGTGGGGCTCATCTTGTTTCAAACACATTTTTGAACAGCTTTTGGTGATTTTCTTCATTTTGCTTCATACTTATTCCGTTAATCTTTTTTTTTTTATATATTCATTTTGTAAATGTGATTCAGGTATTTGGATCAGTTAGGAATGGCGTCTAAATTCAACACCAAAACTTATTGCAGACAAAGTTTGATTGGTGGCAACTATGGCCTCCTTGACACTGAAACATATATACCAAATCCTGATTATTACAGGTTAGGGAGCACATTCAGCTTCTGGATATATCATGGCAGAGAATCCTTAACCCATATGCTTGAACATTTCATTTATTTGATCCGAACAGCGCACTGTTGTGGCATCGGCTTATGGGGAAGAGAGTTCTTTATGTCAATAACAATGGGTCTTCCTTTCTACGAGTTTATGCCCATTGCACGAAAAAAACGGTTAAGATCATTTTCTTTTGCTGATAAAGCTTAACTCTCAACACCTTTTTGTTCTTACTGTTCCTATCATCTTCTTCATCTCAGGCTGGAGTTTCTCTGGTCCTAATCAACTTACTCAACTCTGAGTTCAGAATCAATGTTGAAAAGGAGACAAATCGCAAAATTAGTGTGGATTATGAACGTAAGAATAACTGCTCTTTTTCAGATAGATTGGAGAAGATGGTATACTTGAATGGAATGAAAGAACGCCACAGTTCAATCAAGCGAAAAGAGTATCATCTAACAGCAAAGGATGGCAACCATAGAAGTAGAATTATGCTACTAAATGGAAGAACTCTGCAACTTTCAGAAGATGGAAAGATTCCAGATTTAGTTCCTTCATATATTTACAGCAACTCACCAATTATAGTTGCTCCTCTCTCCATTGTTTTTGTTGTGATGCCGAACTTTGATGCTGAAGCCTGTTCATAAGAACTCTCTGTTTGTATCTTTTGATGCCTGAGAGAGCTACAGTTATGTTGTAACTTTATGGTTTGAATTAAATGCTGTAATTTGTGTTTTAGTTAG